ATGATATATATTATATATATATATATATATATATGTATATATATATATGGCATGGAGACGTCAGGTGCAGTTAAACACGTGCTTTACCACACCCACGAAGAGTGAACGCGTTCACTAACAACACACGCTCCAGACATAACACACTATTGGAACAGGGTTTTGCATGATAATAAGTGTTGAAATACAAGATAAGAAAACGATTTTTCGGGTTTTACATACGCCTTTTTGGGAATTTTGTTTTGTAGTTTTATGTTTCAGGAGACACTAAGTAATAGATAGTGCGGTTGAACAATACTGTCTCCAAAGGTATGCGTTGTGCGCTATCACCACTGGCAGTCCGAGTCGCGTGGTCCCCATCCTGGAAGGCTGACCAGTCCGACAGATAGTAGAGGTTGCCTTCTTCATGCTTCTTCTTTACATCATTGGTTGTCCACCGCGGCAATCTTTCCAATCGCTTCCGGGGAGCGCAAATAACGCTAGACGGGGAAGGCGATAGGCTGGCATGCGCAATACGTGGCCGAGCCAACGCATGTGGTGTTGGAGAACAACAGTTTGGAGGCACTGGCTGCTTGTTCTAAACACTCACTGTCGGAGTTCTGTGTTACTCACGTGATGCCGACACCGCACGCGAGCAATCTTACGCAGACGAGTGTCTAAAACCGACAATTATTGCATGTTTTTTGAGCGAATAGGCCAGGTGCTGCAGGCGTACAAGAGGACTGCACGGACAGAGGCAATGTAACCCTGCCATTGAGTTTGAGACTGACGTCGCGACGGCGTCAGAAGTGTCTCAGTCTGAAAAATGCAAGGCGGACCTTTGCGATCCATTGTGAGACCTCGTCTATTACAGCCGCCAGATGTGATGCAACGCCCTAGATAAATGAAGCAGAGGACTTGTTCCAGGAGGTCATCAGCAATGGTCAGGGCAAGCATGGGCATCTGGCAATCCTAGAGTAGTATTTTGCACTTGTCTGTGGTGCAACACGGGTCATACATAGACGCCTCCATCGTTAAGCAGTTCAAAGCGCTCTGGACGGCTTGTGAATTGTTCGCAAGCAAAGCGATATCATCGGCGTAATCCAAGTCCGCGACTCTGTAACCTGGGAGAAGCTCAATGCCGCAGTTTTGAGGGTCTTTAAATGCTCGTTGAACGACATCTTCAATGCCAAAAGTGAAAAGGAAAAGTGAAATGGGACAACCTTTGCGAACCCCGCTGGTGACAGCGAACGAAGTGGAAAACGTGCCGTAAGCTCTCACTTTGCCCAATGCGGGATTGTAGAGATCCTTCAAGACTGTTACAAACTTATCGGGTACACCTTTCCTTAGTAGACAGTTCCACAACACAGATCTATCCACTGAGTCAAATGCCGTTCGGATGTCCAAGAACACTATGATTGTTGGCCATCGGTGGACATGACGGAGTTCAAGAAGTTGGCAGTGTGCAGAGATGGTCAATGCAACCTCGGCCTGGACAGAAACTCGCTTGTTCCTCTATGTAAACGCCCGTTTTAGTCGCTGAAAGCCTGTGGTAGATGAGACACGAAAATCTTGGACGCAACAGAGATAAATAAAATTCAGCGGTAATTGGTGCAATTTTCGCGGGAACTTCTTGTGAATCGGGACAATGACCGATTCTCCCCAATTACATGGGAAGAATCCGCTTAAAGTGACAGAATTTCGCTGACAAGTGCATTCCCGCCATCTTTGTATAGAGCCGCAGGTAGGCTGACAGGTTCGGGAGCACTATGATGCTCCCAACGTTGGATTGCGCTTCGGAGCATCTGTGGCGACAGGCCAATCACCATCCGAGGGAAAAATAGGTGCCAGAGTGGGCGGTGCTGAGCAGTTAAGGTGGAAAGCAGTGCTCTGTCCAGCGTATCGGACGGTATTCACAAATGAACATCTAATGTATGGTGAAGGCACTCGGGTGAATAGAACACCCAGGTGCAATAAAATGCGACACGGATGAGTTAATAGTCAGATTGCAGGAGCATAGCTGCTGTTATCAATTAGGTGGACCGGCGTCACATTGGGACGGTGAACAGTTAGGCAGCAGCGCACCAGGAAAAATGTCACTCCGACGAGCATTCTCCACATGAAAATTCGCAACTAATAACTAATAACACTGTAACGTGCGGATGCAGTACAGCATACAAAGATATAATCCTAGAACTTCAGTAAAGGTACGGCGAAAAACTGGAAAAAAAATTAGGCTCTTTATTGGCAGCACGCCAACCTAGACGTACAGACTCGGAAGTCGGATAGCGGAGATGACCGCAAATTCCTGGAGTCGTCCCGTTGCATTGCTACTGGCCAAGAGGCCAGTATTCGTTTGGTGCCCCCTGAAAAAAACAGGATTATTAACAAGTAAGGAGTTGCATCAGCCTTTGTGCATGACACATAAGTCCGCCCATTGTTTGCCAAGACAGTCTAGTTATTTGGTAATGACGCCAGGATCTATAGGAGTAATCGATCACCCGGTAGCATTTGCTGGCCTGCCTCATCTCTAAGTTAGGAGTCCAGTTTAGCCCGGTTTATTGACATGACTCACGCAAGCAAAAAATGAGAATAAGAACTTAATAATAACGGACAAGAAATAAGGTCAGGTAAGTGACAAGAATAAGGAGATATATATGACGCCGACACTGGCTGTGTGATTCTGAAACATCCGAAAGAGGATGACTCACGTGATAAACGCTATGATTTGTCTCGGGCATAGTGACATGGATGGTAGCAGGCACAAGTTGTACACCCGTTGTTAAGCGTGGTGTTATGTCTGACGCATGGCAGTCAGGATCATGAAGAATTTGCTCCGCTGGTACTGCTGTTGTATTTCACGACAGTCATTTACATGTACTCGTGTTGTTGACAAGGCGAAATAGTGATGTACTGCGGTTGATGACGGCGATGCTAAGACCAGAACATTGTTCGGAGCGGTGGTTGGAATTTGTGCAGGAAATAATTCCCCCAGCACTCAATTAAAAGATGCCACAAACAAATACGATCAACCAAGGGTGGCTCACGATGTTACGCAAGCGGACTGTCAGGGTGGAAGTCAGCCTCAGTTTCCCTGATTCAAGTGTACGAGGATCAGGTGAGCCGGTGTAGATCAAATCACATGAAAAGCTTAAAGTCAATAAAAGTAGACGGAATGCTGTCTTATGAGCCATCTCGATGAAGAAGATTATGACTGATAATCACCAGTACAGAGGTCCTGCTTCAGTGCTCATACGTTGCTGATCGAGCGGCTAGACAAACAACTAACGGGTAGTCACCGTTTTTGACAGGAACAGGAACGCTCGGTCTAAGCTTTCCGGTTTAGTTTGAACGAAGCGGTCTGACGACATCTTTTCGAAAACATGGCACGAAGTCAAGCTGACGTGAGGGTCCAGATAAATCAACAAAGGAAAAAAGCAGTATGCCTCACAGGGTCGCAAGCCAGAGTAGTCAGCATGGGTCGGATGCAGCCCATGGGCAACGGGAACAACACTGGAAGTCAAGTGCCGCCAAACGGTATGACAAAACGCACCTGATTATACGCAGTATTCTGCAAATTATTACGACGCTGAACCAGGTTTAGAGTAGTATTTTGATTTCCGACACCCCAACCACCATACTCGGCAGCGATCGATTCATCAACGTCACGAGCATCATAATTTTGCCGGGACCCTTTCGGTGGAGCACCCTAGAAAATAATAAAGCATTGAAAAAAGTCTACCTCGAGCAATTCGGCGATGGCTTGCAAGCAATCGATAACTTTCTCTAGATCGCCGACCAACTGGATAACTCTGTCGGTTGAACCCGGACAGAGCATCTGGTAAACTTTGAGAGTTTGCAGACCAGATTGCTAGACAAATTAGAAGATCATCTGAGCACTCACCTCCCTCAATTCCTTAATTTTGTAGCCTCCTCTTCCTATTATGCAACCAGCTTGGCTTTGATGAACCAGCAACCGAAGGTCAACGCCTTCGTCCCTGTTGTTTTGCATCTAGAAATGAATTTAAAAGAACGCTGACATACTCGCTCCAGGTTTTCCATAAAAATCTCAATGATGGAGCCCAAATCGCCATCCAGAACAAGTACCCTTAGGATGAAAGTGAATGATTAGATAATAAAAAACAAAGTTTTCTCGGTAACGGCAATATACCTTTCAGGGCCATTGCTATCGGGAATCATAACTTTCACTGAGTACTAGAAGCAACCCCAAGGAAATAAGGACCCACCGGGGAGACACCCGTTGATTGTAGGAGGGATGCGCGAAAACGAGCATAGGCAGGGCAGGGCAGGGCAGGGCGGGACGGGACGGGGCATGGGGGTGGGTTACGAGCCAGCAGATGGCGGGACAGTTCGGGCGGGCCAAGAGACAAAACCATAATGGACGGAAAAGAACAGAGATAGGCCAAATCGTTAGATCTTACAAATGATAAACCAACAAAAAAGTGGGAAAGAGAACTTGACATACCTCCTCACGAATACGCTGTATGTTTTCACCACCTTTGCCGATTATAACACCGGCAGCCTAAGTACGAGCTAAGAAGTGAACTGAACGTACCTTAGTGGAAATAAGAAACCTTAGTTCCACCTTGGGGCCCTCTCCACGTCTCATGTTCGTTGTGGATTAAGAAATAAGATCAAAGTCTGAAGACAATCAGAAAGTGAAAAAATATGTATATAAGACAGCACTCTCAAAATGCAGCGTGCACTGACCTGAGCAGGAGAAGGCTTAATTTGGTTGTGTTAAAATGGAGAAACATAGGATTTCAACATAACTCACACGGGTGGGGACAGAAGCCAATGAGATCGAGGGGAACAAGCAAACGAACGTAGGGTGAATAACGAGTGCCTAAAGACCGTCCGAACAGCACCCGATCTGTGTCTCGAATAAATATTCTTAGAATGGCAATTGGGCACTCAAAAAAATCACGAGAAACTGGACATGAAATGCAGGAAAGCCAGTGCACACACAAGCAACAATACATAATGTTTATGTACTCAGTGGTAGAAAGCAGAATTGAAAACCCGTGTCAGCCCCATCACCCGTTTATTCCCTGGATGATGCGTGTTGTTAGCAAACTGTGTTCCCTGAGGGATCGCTATGACTGCAGCAAAACAGCGAGACACAGACGTGCTCAGTAGGTGATTATCCAACCACTGCTCGTTCTTCCAACAATTGTTTGATGCTGTGATCGTCGCAGAGGATAAGCAATGGCGCTTTGTCCGCTGCATAGAGCAGGTTAGATAGGGGGTTGGGCGCCACTGCTCAAGCCTTCTCGTCTTCTCATTCGCCCGTTAACGCTTTTGCAACCTTATTTCCCGTTCCAACTTCACTTTTATCCTCCCCCGTTTGCAGCCCCTCAATTCTTGGCCCTCCCCCATTTTGCCTTGATAGGCGTTGCTCTCCTAGTTCCAACTCACATGGAAACGTGGAGCGTCATTCTTGCCGTCAAGAAGCCTATACCCAAATGGACAAGCCCAGTGCATCGGCTTCTATTTGGAGCCCTCGATCCCCCCCCCTCAGACTGGCATGCTTCAATGTACGCACATTGTTACACAGCGGTCAATAGACAGCACTTGGCCAAACACGAGAGACCCATCGATCGATATCTGCTGCTTATCGGGAACCCACCTGCAAGGGTCGAGCTCTACGCTCGCTTTGCGATCTCATTCTGGTGAGACCGTCTCTATCCGGCTAAGTTGGTGTTGGTTTGAGTCCCCAGGCTGAAGCTGCTCTGGTTGATTGGATAAAGCCATCAGGTGCGAATGGAGTATGGTGATAATATTGCCCTCATCCATGACAGCTCACAAAGGTGCCAAGCAGCACTGGACAGATTAGCACTGACTGTCAGCCGTTTCGAGTTTTGCTTTTCACCCGTAATTTAAAGGTAACAAGCTTGTTTTGTAATCTGACGGCGCGGGTTCGTGTCTGCGTAGGAGCAGGGCGATCCTCGCAATATCCTTAGCTCAGGTGCGACCGGTGGTGGTTGTGTGGCAGCGAAGCATCGGTACTGTGAAACGGTGTACTGCTGATGCCTCCCTCTTCTTTCTTATTGCATCCTCGAAGTGCAAAGTTATCCTCCATTAGCAGGGACCGCCTCTTGTGCTGACCCTCAGTGGGAATCAGCTAGAAGTCGTTCAGAAATTTGACTACCTAGGCAGTTGTATCAGCGCGTTGGAATCGAAGACGAGGTCATGAACCCTACCGCAAAACCTCAAGGCATTTTGTCAATCTTTGCCACCTGTGATGCCGGAGCGACATCACTCTCTCCCACAAGGGCAGAAGTTAAGATGCAGCCGCAGGTTCGACCCTACTTACAGCTGCGAAACCTGGCCCATTAGAACGGCAGACGTAAAAAGGCTAGTTACGTCCGAAAACCGGTGCCTTAACAGTTTGGATTATATCTGATGAAAGTGTCGCGCGAACAATGAGCGGGCTCGACGTTTTGTTTATGGCACAGGAAGTAATGAAGCATTCAGCACCGTTAGTTCACGCACCACGTTCCGATGGCTGGGCCACGAGTTGCGCATGCCAAGACACTGACTCCCGCAACGTGTCCATCACAACGAGACGACTTCAGGCGGGACTTCTGGCGTCGGCCCGTAACCTAGAGGTAACGAACTTGTCTCGTAATCTTGCGGCGCAAGTTTGAATCCGCGTAGGGTTGGGTGTCCTCGCAGTATACTCAGCCCACGTGTGACTGGTGATCGCACGGCAGTGAAGCGCCGTTACAGCGTACAGCTTACAATATTGTATTATTATCATTATTTTGGCGTGCTGATCCACTCCGTTGAAAGTGCTGCCGGTGCTATGGACTGGAGTATGCAGCAGCACTTAGGCGTTGATGATGCCTGTACTCCAAAGTCACGTCGCTCATAACTCAGGTCGTTCCACTCTGCAAAGTGAAACGTTTCTCCAAAGGCCCTCTGTGGATTGATCGTGAATTAAAAGGTCTTATGAGCCGACGAAGCAAACTGTGAGATAGGTTCAAAATTACGCAAGCACTTTTGGACGACTTTGATTACAAAGAGGTCAATAATATCTGCACCTTTAAGAAGCATGAGAAGCGACAAAAGTACGAGCGTCGCTATGTTAATGACCACCGCTTCACTCTAATTGGCTGTGCGAGGCGCTTGCATCTGCGTTGCTATAGTTACGGCTGCACTCCGATTAGCTGTTCGACCTCGGCCTCGGAGTGGATGACAAAAACAAAAATCGCGGACCCTTGTACCACGCATTCGCCGAACGACAAGACGAAACGTGGAGCATGCGAATAACCTTTGGCTATCTAAGTGAATATTCTGTTATCTTTTTCCTTTCCTACTTGCCAATAATAGGATTAGAATCTTGCATTGATAAACAAAACTGAAGAAATCTTGCTAGAATCGGTTGGTTCTTGTCGAAAGCAGGTGCCACCGGTCGTTAGGTGTCCGTCCTAACACTCCCCGTTCGAAGTGCACTGGTGTAAGATTTTAGTCTGGGATTGACTTGGAGCGGTGTGACGTGGACCATGCATCGGTCTGTCCATCTTCTGGGCCGACATTCATGGGTAACACAGGGTGTAGTATATTCATCTTATGGAGTTGTATCAGTCTTCGATAACTTGAATTTTTCCAAGAGTATTTCCATAGGAGTCGTCCGGATATCTTCAGTTGAATTTGGTGAAACACATCTCCTGAGCTGGTTGATGTGGCGGACTTACCTTGCTTTGCCCATGGTCACCTCATAGCAGACATGACCGTACCTTTTGTAATTAGGCTACGTGTCCATGCGATATTTCCCCTCCGATAGTCCTTTGCCAGAAGCATCTATCCAACATCGAAACTACTCGCTATTGCTTTGTACCTCCGATGGTATTAGCGTTCCATTTTCTGGTTTATCGCCGCGCTGTGATTCTCCTGCGGTCTTATTTGGACAAAGGTTGTTCGGGGCCTTCTCAGCAGAAACGATACGGCCGGGGGTTTCCCCTTCGGTGCCTGGGGATTAGGTGTGATCCTGTACATCAATAAAAAGGTCTGCAGAATCTAGTGAACACGTCCATCCCCCTGGTTTAAGCACAGCTCTCTGGAATGCGTCGATGATTTTCTCTGCCTGTCTATTTGACTTGGGATGATAACGAGACGAAGAGATGTTCCATCCGGTACATCGCACAAAAATCAGCGAATTGCGCGGTGAACTGAGGCTTGTTGTCAGACACAACTGTTTCCGGGAATCCAAAACGGCTGAAAACTTCTCTGAGGGCAGCTATAATGACTGATGAAGTGGTGTTCGACATTGGTAAGATTTCAGGCCACTTACTGCATGCATCAATGACAAGTAAGACGTTATGTCCCTTGATTGGTCCTGCAAAGTCAAGGTGCACGCCTGAAATTGGTTTTGTGGGTGTTGGCCAAAAAACAGTACACAGTTTCTGGGTGATTTCGCCGCAAATGAACATTTGGAACACGATCGGGTTAATCATATATGTGTATCCATGAACGGCCAATAAACGTAACTTCGCGCCAAAGCCTTCATTTTGCTGGAGCCAGGATGTCCGGCGTGAAAGTGCTCCAAGACTGGATTGGAGCTTCGCTGGTATGACGACGCGCTTCGCAAAATCTTGGACGATAGATAAAGTATTCCACCACTGGGCAAACTGCTTTAGCTGTGCATCCGAAATTTTTCGTGGCCAATTGTGATAGCAAGGGGTAATGTAAGGTTGCTTGTCGAATCAGACTGAAAGATATTGGTAGTCGGCTCACCGTGTCTGAAAGCACCTGATTAACTTTAATTTCTAACGGAACGTTGGCAACAACAGTGTCTTTTGACTGATACTGTTCGCCCATTAATCGTAATAGCGCATCCGCCTGACAAATGTCATTTGTTGAGCGGTACTTAATAGTGAAATCATATCCGAGTAACTGACGATTATACAGCATCTTGTGAAAATGCCTTACCGCAAACACGATGGCTAGAGCCTCTTTTTTGATTTGACTGTGGTGTCTTTCCGCTGGGATCAACGAAAGAGCGGCATAGCGAGTGGTTTCTAGGCTCCGTCACGGAAAACGTGTGAGATAACTGCGCCAACTCCATAGCTTGAAGCATCTGAGGTCACAACAATTGCCAACTTCGGATCATAATGCGTGGGTGTCAGCTCAGAGCTCAGCGTTGACTTGATCTTGTCGAACATTTCTTGACATCTGGGCGTCCATTCCCATGGGGTATTCTTCTTCAAAAGTTGAGTTAACGGCTCACGTAAATCATGCATGCGGGTGAGTAGGCACTGTAGGAACTCACCATGCCAAGGAATGATCTTAGGAAAGCTACATCCTTTGGTCCGTCGCAACGAGACTGGACCTCAACGTGGTGCGACGGTTCGCGTACCTCATTGACCCATTGAGCTATACTGGGTGATGCCTCCGAGCATCTTGAGAGCTACTCCTACCAGGTTGGTCAATGGTGAGAGGTCAGACAAACTCAGTCTCCTGGTCCTCCAGGTTGGGGTTTGTAATGGGATGGTGTCCATTCCTGTAAAACTAAATGATTACCACCTCCCCGCTGCCTTGCGGACAGGATTTTGAGCCAAAGGCTTTGGATGAGGACCCTAATCGTCCTCCTGTCTAGATCTCGGCGCCCTGGCAGTATCCCAGCCCACATACAACCA